CCCCCCCGGCCATCCATCCATAACTTGCCCCTCCTGACGCCTGAGCACAGGTAGTCCTCCTCGACCATGGCATGTACCGTCGCCTAGAGCCAGATTTTCGCCTGACGTACTCCAAGCTTTGGAAGGCGTTCATGACGAGGGATACCGCGCTGGGGGAGCGCTGCGCCGTCGATCTCGGCGTGGAGCCCGGCCTCTACGACGCACTGTCGCTCATCCTGACATGGCGGCCTACGTCCACGACCGCGCGGTGAGTTGAGCGAGTGGTGATGGGCAGGCGGGAACGGAATAAGACTTGCAGAGAAAGGCGTTTGTTAGAACAGGATGAGACTCGCTTTGAGAATGTTAGAGCGGGACCAGACTCACACTGAGAAGGACGTTGTTAGAGCGGAGAGGGCCGGTATCGACAATCTTTCGAATACGGATTGCGTACAGTACGAGCTGCGCTGGCCGCGTGGCGCTTGACGTCCCTCCCTCGGACAAAACATCGGTGATAAAAATGGTGCTTTCCACGAGCCGGACAAACGCAAAGTGTGGCCCGGCGTATCTGTGCGTGTGGTTCTCTTCTGCAGAACCGGACAACGAATAACGGAGGAGGAACGACAGGCGCTGGTGGCCAAGTACAAGGTTATCTTGTCGCACGATAGCCTCAACGCCTTCCTAGAGAGGCTTCCCAGAGATATGCTCTTCGTCATGCGCACCAGCGATCTTGTCCGGAGTCTCAACAAGGTTTGCGAGGGGCCGTGTTTTTTTTTTTTTCTGTGGTGGTGGTGGTGGTGTGTGTGTGTGTGTGTCGATGTCTGTGGGTTTTCCGTGACAAGCGTATTTGTACACCACCGTCATCTCCCCCCCGCCCTCTTGTGGCTTGATCTACACGACAAGATCTACAGGTGACCAAGCTTGCGTCATTTTTCCGCCTTTCCGTCCCCGTCTACCCCCCGCCCCGCCGCTAGAGGGACGCATGATCATTGCAAAACGTTCAAGAAGGCAAGCTGATCGAGAGTATGCGATAGAAAGGCAACGATTTCGCATTCCAGATGTGCAGAATCGTCACCTTTCCTCCTCCAGTTTTGGTCGAGTTTTGACAGGGAAGTAACCGCCGAACGTGTCGAGGGCAAGTAAGGATTGAACACACGCACACCGTAGCCCCCACCACACCGTTACCTCTTCACGGCCACCCCCACACCCTACACCGCCCCCACCGCATTGTCACCCCCATACCCCACTGTCACCCCCACACCACCATCACCCCTACCCCGCCCCTACTCCGCGCTGGCATTTCCTGGTTCGAAAATCACCACGCAGGACCTCGGAGGTACGACGAGGGATCGACTGATCGTGCTGGCAGAGAGTGCCGTACGCGGTCTCAACATCCCTAACACCACCGCTGCCGCCGCCCCCGCGACGGAAACCCCTGGAAGAATGTCTCGAGAAGAAGCCGAGGGTTTCGTAGAGAGCAGCAAGGCCCTCTCCGAGGAGGAGGCGTTCCGAGAGTTTTTGGAGAAAGAGGTAATGTTGTTTTTTGTTCACACGGATTTTCGAGAGCCAGATACTGCTGTACTCTCCCCTTGCATTCTGCTGTTTTCGGCGCACCAGCAGTAAGTTTGTGCCAATAGCACGCGGCGGTGAACTCACTCCGGCCACGAGGAGGTACAGGGATAGAATCACGCGAGTTGGTGTCTTGATTGGTGATGGCCTCTTGTTGTTCTTGTGTTTTTCTTGGCCTCGCGTGTCGCGTGAGGGTGGTGGGCTCTCTCTCTCTCTCTCTCTCGCGCGCGCTCTGTAGCATACGAGTCCCGTTTGTCCGACATGTCGCCCGCGCGACGTCTCACTACTGTTTGGGGCCTTTCCTTCCGGTTGATTGTTGTCGCTCGGTCCTTTTTGTTTCCTCTTTGATTTTTCACAGTGCACCCTTTTGGGGGTAGTAGTGAGCCTGTGACCATGGAGGACTTCCGCCTCAGGTAAACCAGTACTACATTGGGGTACATTATTAGAAGGTACCTGGTACTGAAAAGAGATCTTTAAAATAGGTTAGCAGATGACAAATCTCTGCCTAAAAACATGACGTCCCTTCTTGGTTTCGTTCCTGTCCTTCTCTCGTTGTGTGTCTCTCCCCCTCCCCTAATCCTCTGTGTGTGTCTTCTTCCCTCTCTTTTGTCTGTGCCTCTCATTTCCCCCCCTCTCCTCTACCACCACCCTGTCCGAAACACCCAACACTTAACATAGGGGCTCCGTCACCCGGCGAAGCTCGCCCTCTCCAGCCCCCACGCCGGCGTTAACCGCCTGGTCTCCTCCGAGAGGGGCATGACGGCCCCCAGAGGCCTGTCTTGGTGGGACTGGGCAAACCTTCGAATCCGCATCTGGACCATCGACAGCGTGCTGAGGTTGGTGTGGTGGTGGCAACGGCGGAAGTCGTTCACCGACAGGGACATTGGATAACGGAAGCCGTTGCCTGCCCGCCTGCCTTCGAAGGTTTTTGGTTGCGCTACTACTCTACACCAGCCCCGTGCTACCCGCATGGACAAATCGTAGCGGCCTCGGTTTGGTATGCTCTGAGGGCTTGGTGGTGTTCAAAGTGCGACATGAGCCCATCGGTGAAGTTGAGAGGGCGTCGGGCAGGAAAGTCAGCTGCCTGCCTGCAGGGTTGGATGGATGTCTCAACGCGGTGGACCATAGAATTATCATCGGCATCGTCGCAGTAGGAGCTGTCGGCGTGCTAAGTTAGCCGTTCCCGCTAGCCTGAAGTTCGTTGTGTAGCGTTGCCCGTCCAGCGCGTGCTCCGCCGTTGGCCCATGTTGTCGAGAGGCTTAGTTCTTGGGTTCAACCTATCAAAACCTTTGTGTAACCTGTAGATGAAGCTTGGCCTCTCCACCCGCCCCCTGAAGAAAAAAAACTGCTTAGTACCGGAGTCACTACTGCTGTCCATTGGAAAGTTGGAGAAACACAACGTTCCACTGAGTTTGTTAACAAAAAAAATACTTTGTGGAGGGGCGCGTTGTCCGTGCGTCAGTTTCTTGGGAATCCCGCCGAGAGGAGCTCGTGAGGGAGGGAGGGAGGGAGGATAGCCCTTGTTTCGTTTTGCGCCGTTCAGCGTCTAGACTACCGTTCGTTCGAAGAAACAAATCCCATCTATCCCGGACTCTCATGTTTGTGGAAGAGATGATTATTTCGTGATGTAAGAAAAGAAAGAAGCGACCAATCCTTGGAAAGAGCTTCTGTACCACATATTACGGTCGGTCGAATGCATAAAGTGAGGGACACAACGGAAGGAAAGGAAGGGCAGAGCGAAGCGCAGTCGAGGAACGCCACACCACTGGCCGAGAGTTTTCGCGACCTTTCGATCTGTCCCACTCAACAAAAGCAACACGTGAGTGCACCCACGGTGAGGGGTACAAGAGATGACGATCTGCGTAGTCGGCCGGCTGTGTCTTGTCTCCCTTAAACGACCAGCAGCAGCAATGCTCTTATGACTTTGTTGAAGTCTTGATTGACTTTGAATGACGGGACGCACCGTCATGCATACCACCACGGTATCGATCCATCGCACATAGACAATTCCAATCTCGGCAAGATACGAAATAGCATCGTACGAACGGAGGAACCACCCATCGCACGAACACAAGACGTGAAGAAAAAAAAAATTAAAAAGGGCCAAAAATGTTGTGTACAAGAGTCAACACACCTAACACAGTCGGGTGCCAAGATCTGGTACTTCTAAGCCAAAATAAGCAAAACCGTGGCAAACTATATGTAACCTTGGCACACAACGAGACGCAACCTACACAGGCAAAACATATGGCACGTGCAACCAAAAGGTGACACAAAGACGGGAGACGCATGAAAATCGAACGATTTATCCTGCTCAAGACAGCGCAAGAGGAATTCGAAGCAGCAAAAAGATGACAAAAGCGGTAGGTCGGGGAGAGGAGAGGGTCGGTCAGCAGACTACAGAGTCTGGACGCGCCCCCCCCCCCCTTCCCCGCTTCAAAGACGTGGACTCGCACTACACCCTCTAAGAGCCCAATACAACCAGCCAGCGCAGCGTCGACCGCGCCTTGTGCTCGCCGCCGAACACTCTCCACCACCACCAGCGCACTGACAACACCACCTTCCACGCAGCGCATGTATGGTGCGACCCCCGCACATCGGCGGTGGGCGTGATAGAAAATATTTTCGATAACTGAGAAGAAGCGGCAACGGGAGATGGTGAAAAAAATACTCGCTTGGTCGCGAAATTCGCGGCCGGGCTTTCCCCTAAAACTGTACGTGTACGGCAAAGAAAAAAAAAAAAGTGAGAAAATACGAACCCCCAGTGAACATCTAATGGCCTGGACTATATTTATCCCTCCTTCGCAGCTTCGACTTCGTGACAACGTCACCGCGGTGTTGCGCTCGGTACTTGCAACACCAGGCTATTCCTTCAAGGGCATCTATTTTAACTCTGATCTGCCGTTCAGGCGCGAAATCCGCGCCCTTGCATACGTACATCCCCAATCTCGGACACCCCCCCGTCCGCCCCCTCACAAAACCGCCGAGAGCCCCAACCGCGTGGCGCAAGTCGAGGGAAACTCTTGGGGCCAATACACCCAGCCACCAACCACCCTCCTCTATCAATCAGCGGCCTGTTTTGATTTTCCGATATGCACTGCGTGGCGTGTCACTCAAGACAGCGACGAAGACGAGAAAATCGACAACTTAAAACCGCAATGCTTCGTTGATGTTCATCATCATGCATCGACCCGACAACTAATCCGACAAATCTCCGCTGCGCGTGCGAACAAGGATAGCTAGCTACAGCTATTGTCATGGCGATTGGGCAGCGGGACACCTGCTTGGTGGGATGTCAAAATAGAGCAACGCAGCAGGGAGGGGAAAGAATCCGTGAGACAGCAGAAGGGGACAAACGTTAGAGAGTCTGTGAACTCGTTTCTGTGTTCGTGATGGCGGTCCAGTGCATGCAAGGGCGAGCGTAGAGCAGCACGTACGAAGAACTCCAAGCCCAACCAACATCCTCCATATTGCGGTTTCGTGCCCGTACGTGAAGGTTTGACCTCGGGGTGGGATGCGGGGTAGAAAACGGAATAAATCACCACTATTTATTATCGGAGAGGGAAAACAACAAAGAAAGGTACGTGACAGAAACTGTTGGAAAATACAAGTCGAAACCAGATGCGCATTGTTCGACGAAAACAAGGGATAAGGCGTGCCCAACGAAAAATCTAATCTGACTCCGGAAACGGGATCCGTTCGCCCCAGTCTTCTACGCGGCCCTCTTGTTGAGAAGAAGCCCCTCGGGCTAGAACGAGTGTTAGATATACAACATATCCACTGAGTGAGCTAAACAGTCAGCGCTGACTGTTTAGCTCAGTGGATGTGTTGAATATCTAGCAAAAGTACAACCCGGGTCCGAACAGCTGTTAGGCTGTCTGACTCTGGTTTTCCCCCAGGGTTGTAATCCCAGTAATCAGCGCTGCCCCAAGCGGTTCATCGGCTTACAGGCGGGGATATGTGTCTTCATCGTTGACGACTGGTGATGTGTACCATGACTTACAGGTGTGTATCCCGGACTTTTTTCTCCTTCCTGAAGAAAGGCGTCAAGATGGCTCCCAGAGGGAATCGAAACTTGGTTGTAAACTTGTTAGATATACAACATATCCACTTAGTTACATGTTGTATATCGCTGACTGTTTAGCTCAGTGGATGCGTTGTATATCTAACAGCGAGTGCTTGCGTTTCTTGTTCCGCTCGAAGACATACTGTGTTTTCACTGCAGCCGGCAACCACGGGTCGATGTAAACCAAACGAGCAACACACACACGCGCAGTTCTTGTCGATTAAATAGTCAGCCGGTTAGGGCGGTCGAAAAAACAACACACAAACACAGAAAAAAAAACACACCTCCAAACCAACCCTTACCTTCGTCCCAAGTTTCCGATCGTCGCATCGCCGCCCCCCCCCCCAACCCCCCCNCCTCCCCGCCCGAGCTCGAAGACAGGGGCGACCCGCTTCTGTCCGAGCCGCTGCTCCGCGAGCCGCTGCTCCTGCTCCTCCTGGCGGTGTCGCCAGAGGTTGTGCTGCCGGGCATGACGCTGCTGCTCTCGCTGCTCTCCATCCACGACGACGACGACGAGCACTCCGACCCTTCCCCGCCGCTGCCCCCGCTACCGCTGCACCCGCCGTCGAGGTCGGCGCCTCGGCTGCGGCGGTGCTCGCCGCCGCCGCTGCTGCCGTCGCAGCTTCCGCTGCTCCGTTTTCTTTTCGCGCTTCTTTCTCGTCGGACCTTCTGCCAGGCCTCGTGGCACCCGCGGGACAGGTCTCGGTCAAGACGGTTCTGGTTCTCCGAGGTCGCCTGCTGCTCCCGCTGCTGCTGCTGCTGCTCCGCCGCCGTCGCGGCGGCGGCGGCACGCTTGCGGTGGTGGCGGCCGGTCCTCGAGGGCGACGAGCTCAAAGAGTTCTCCGTCGTCGCCGACTCGTCGTTGTCGTGGTCGGCGATGCTGCCGCTGCCGCTGCCGCCCGCGCTGCTGTTGCTCCGGCTGCCGCTTCCGCAGCTGCTGCTGCTGCTGCTGCCGTTGCCGCTGCTGGATACCGGCGCCGTCTTCGACGGCGCCTCCTTAGCCGGGAGATCGGAGGAAGGCGGTGATGTCAACCCCGGGCGGTGGTGGTGGTGCTGCTGCTGGCGCGGCTGCGGCTGGCGTAGGCTGTCCTCCGGGGAGGACAAGCTCGCGCTGGCCCACGGAACAAACGGCGTCGTGCCGGGCCCGCCCCGGCCCTGCGAAGCGTGCCAGCTCGCGTACCCGAGCGCCGCCGCCCCCGGCTCCGGCACCGGGTACGCGTGCTGATGCGGGTCGTGGGGAGGAAGGGCGAGCATCGGCGTCAGCTTGCCGGCCAGGGCTCCCGCCGGCGGGGGTCCGTACGTGGCCGGCGGCCAGCCCTGGTAGCTGATGAGGTACTGAGGGTTGGAGTGCGGCATCATGCCGCCGGGGGGAGCGCTGACGCCCTGGTGCTGCAAGTAGGGGTTCTGGCCCTCCTGCTTGACGACGCTGTTGCCGTTGCCGGCACCATCGGCACCGGCAGCGCTGCCGGCGCCGGCGCATGCGCCCGGGCCGCCGACGCAGTCGAATCCTTGCGGGTAGTACCCCACCTGCTGCTGCGAATGCCCGGGATGCACGAAGTGCTGCGGGGACGGGTAGACGTGGCCGTGGAGGTGCGGCGGCAGGTGAGCGGCCGCCGCGGGGTGCAGGAAGGCGGCGTGGTTCGCGAACTGCTGCATCAGGTGGGGGGGAGGGTGGGCGTGGTGGCCGGCACCGAAGTGAGGGGAGCCGGCGGAGTGCTGCTGGGCTTGCTGCTGCTGGCTGTCCTGAGAAGCCGGGGCGGACGGCGTCGACTGCTGCTGCTGCGACAGGAAGTTGGGCATGTGCCCCATGGGCGTCGGCGATAGGTTCATCTTCGCCGTCGACGAGGCTGCGTCAGCACCGCCGTCGAACCCCTTCCTGTCGCTGCCGTCGCTCTTGAGACCACTCCCGTCCCCGCTACCACCACCCCTGCTTATGCCGCCACCTCTGCCGCTCCCTCCTCCGCCGCCGCTGACCGACGTCTTCATGATGTCCCGCAGCTTGCGGTTCTCCCGCTCCAGGCGGGCTATCATTTCCTCGGTGGCCTCGAGGTGCAGCTTCTTTCGGTCGCGGGTCCGCTTGGCGTGCATGCGGTTGCGCTCCCTGCGGATCTGCTCGAGCTCCTCTGGCGTGCACTCGGACCTCGTCTTCTGGGACAGCTCGAGCAGCCGCTCCGCGTCTCCCGGGTTCCCCACCCGAGGCTGCTGCTGCTGCTGCTGCCGCCGCTGCTTCTCGTCGCCCTCGTTCGCACCGCCGGTCCCGCCGGCACCGCTGCCGCCCGCGGCGCCGTCCGAGCTGTTCGCCTCCGAAGACGTCCGTCCGCAAGACGACGAAGAAGCCGAACAGCTAGTCCCCGCCGTGCTCTCGCTCCCGTCTCCGGCGTCGTCACTCTCCACGTTGCCGCGCAGCATGCCGGCGCGCGGCCGGGAAGACCCACCGGAAACGGACGCCGCCAACGCCGCGTGGTGATCACGGGAGGCCTTGCTGCCGGCGTTGCGGCCGCCGCCGCCGCCGCCCGACTGCGAGTCTTCGGTCCCTCCGCTCATGTCGAGGAGGATGCTCGCCGTGCGGCGATCGGTGATGGCCTGCCGGAGGCGTTTCTGCTCCGCCTGGAGCTCGGCCGAGCGGTTCATGAGGAGCTGCAGCTGGGCCTTCTTGCGCTGCCTCGTCTTGCGCGCGTGCAGCTGGTTTCGCTCCCGGCTGCGCTGAAGGCGTTCCTCGGCGGTGAGTCGGCGGCGCTTGCCGGCGCTGTCGAGCTCGTACTCGGCGGCGCTCGCGTTGTCACCGCCGGCATCGGCGGCGGAGGCGGTGGCGGCGGTGGCGGCGGTAGCGGCCGTCGGTTGTTCGAGCTTGTTGTTGCGGCCCTCGTCGTTGTAGCTGGCGCTAGCCGCAGATGCGGTGCTCCGCGGCGACTCCCGGTCGTCTGATGGGGCCGGCTCGCTCGGCGCGGACGTCGCTCTTGCTCGGGGTGCTTTCGTCGCTCTTGCTGATGCGGCTGCCGCCGCCGCCGGTGTTGGAAGCGGAGGCGGCGACGGCGTGGGCGAAGGACTTGCGCGAGAGGCGGTCGCGAGCGAGGTCGCCTGGGGCGCAGGCCACGCCCCACCGCGGCCGGAGTGGCTCGGGTAAAGCGAAGACCAGGACCTCGAGTCGATCGGGTCGCCGGCAGCGGCGGCAGCAGAGCCCGCCTTGCCCGGCACCAGCTGCCGTGATGACCCTCCACCAACCGCCGCCGCCGCCGCAGCCGCCGCCACGCCTGACGATGGCGTTGTTGCCGAGCAAGGCTGCTGCTGGACCTGGGCAAGCGCGAGCGCACGGTTTATCGCCGCGAGGCGATCGGGGTCGAGCGACCCCGGGCCAGCACCCTTTTGCTCCATGGCCGCCGAAGCCGCTGCCTGCGGGTACGAGAACATGGGCGCAAAACCCGGGTACGGGTAGAGGTCGCCCCCGACCACTCCCGCCGCCATCAACGCGGTGGCAGCAGAGCCAGGGGCGGCAAGGTCTGGATCATCGCCGCCGCCCCCCCTCCCCATGTGGTACCCGGTTACCTGGGTTAGCTTCCCCCCCGCGCGCTCCATCCCCACTCCGCCGGCGGTAGCTGCCGCTGACAGTGGCGGCGGCGGCGGCGGCGGCGGCGCGTACTTTTCCCCCGGCGCCGGCAGATGCTGCTGCTGCGAGGGAGACAGCGAAGGCGGGCCTACTCCGGATGTTGGACACGGAAGTGGCGGCGGGCAAGGCCCGCCTTGATGCCGCTGGTAGGCCGTGTTGGACATGTTTCAGTCACGCTTGTTGCTCTCGTTATTTTCCTGTGGAGAGAAGAAGGTGACGAGAGGACAAAAAATAGTTAAAACCGTCTGTGCGAAGAAGCACTTGAAAAAGGAAGATTTTTGAAGAGGGGAGAGAAATAGAGGAACAAACGTCAGTGGGGGCGAGACGATGACGAGGAAAAAAAAGCGTCTTTCGGCGAGACTCAAGTCTCAAGTCGCTCCAGGCGGGCAGAGAAACGGAGATTGCAACTCGAGATCCAGGGCAAGGCAGAGCAAGCGCGCATTACACGCGCTCGGTGCAAGCCGCTGCTTACGTGCGACCACGAGCCACGGCGCTCTTTGGCTCGTCGGCAGGACAACAACGAGGCAGAGAGCAACACTCGGTGCAGACAAGGTGCCTCTCGGCCTGGCCCTGCTGTGGTGGTGCTCTGAAGACATGACATTGTGAAATGCGACACTGCTCCCGATATCGGTTGTGTCTGGGTTGGAACCTAGACTTTGACCTCCGAACGGAGGACCTGGCGCTGTTTGGGAAGCTACGCTAGTTCGAGTAGGGTCCCGATTCCCCGTCTCGCTGCCGGTACACAGACGTGTTGAGCCTGCTGTTGCCTCTACACAAAACAACCCAAACTGCCCCTCTGACCTTTTGATTCGGAAGCGACTCAAGTTTTTCCAACAAGCACAGCACCTGCCGCCACCGTGAAGCCACCTCCAACCCAAAACGCACCTGGGACCAATAGCTAGCTAGGAGATCTGGATATCCTCTTCTCTTGTTGCACGTGCGTCGCCGAGATAGGATTACCGTGATACCTGGTCGAGATTATGCTTGAACCTCTCGCCGGTGGGTGGATTGCCGAACAAAGGGAAAAAGCCAAATGATTGATGCGTCAGCTGCCACCTCATCCTTTGTTACGGTTGGGAGCTATCGGCCAGGCTGTTCGCAGGTCGAACGTGTGGCGTGTCATATTTTGGCGTTGAGAAAAAAAAAAAAACGTATGTCAGGCAGGATCACCCCCCAGCTGCTCCTTGCCATCACTGATTTCGAGGAGGACAAGCTCAAGCGGCACTCTTCGTTACAGCCCGGTGTCTCTCAACCCTCACTGCAAACACTTCAACCTCCCTTCAGACGGGCTGTTGTCTCGGAAGGGCAGTGTGTGTGTGTGTGTATCTGGTGTTGTTGTGTGCCACTAGTTTTGCATTGGCTAGAAGTAGCTGAACTGGCACACAACGGGTGACGTGTTTCTACAGGTACAAAAAAGCTGAACATGCACCTTGCACCTCTCGAAAAAAAAAAATGTAGACTAGGTACAACACAGATGAATCAGAATCATCTTTCTGCAGCAGCAGACACCAGGGAGTGAGGGATCATCGGAAGTAATGCCGCAATAACATGCGTGCGTCAGGCATATTGTGCCAGACAGGAGTAGGAGAGGGTGTGGGTATCTCCCGGAATCATCAACGGAGTGCTCGAACGGCGTACTCCATCAACGACAGACCCAGACCGCGTAATTCCGACTCACGCACGGCTGGCTGTGTTCCAACAGAACACGTACAAGAAGTTGCATATATAGACTATGCATAGTGAACAGCTGTTAGCCATTCCCTGATAGAATAAACACCAGCTCGATCGAGACGACTACCACAGCTGCTGAATTTGTACAAGTTGTTGTTTTGTTGTTGTTGTTTCTCACATTAGCTCTAAAAAAAAAAGATTGGGAGCCCGTGGTCTCAAAACCCGGCATACACGACCCCACGAAGAAACAGAAAAAAATAGGGTACAAAAACCACTCGGAAGGGAAACAAAATGATAGAAAGAAAG